CTGCACGACCGTTTGCCACGGCGACGCTCTCCGTCCGATGTCATGCTCGCGAGTTGGTCGTCGTTCGGCCAGCATCGCATTGACGCTCGCGAGTCAGACTGTCACACACACACACACACACACACACACACACACACACACACACGTACATACCCCCCTAGTGCGTAACGTACGCACGCTAGGTGCACGCATCGTGTTACTGCTTGTCCGCCGTGCATGCGTGCTTACGTGGCAGCTAAAACGGGAAGCCGGCCCACAATGCCCCGCGCACCCCTGGTAGCTTGCGAGTTTTCGAGCGGCATCGACTCGCGCGCGGTGCGGGGACACGACGCACTCGGCCGGGCGGCCATATCGATTCCGCTGCATCGTCATCGTCGTCGCGTTTGTTTGTTTGTCCCTGTAGGGTTTGCTGTCCATCCGCCACGCGGTACCTTTGCAGCCGGACGCCTGTGGCTCCCTCCGTGGCGGGTAGGGTTCACGAAGACGCGCTGCGACGCGCGGCAGTGGGCATCCGCCGCCTCGGCGCAGTGAGATCACGCTGGGTGGAGGGCGCTCCCTCTACCCGGACATGCGCAACAAGGGGCAGTGGGTTGTGGGTGGCCTAGCGATGAGTCATGCTGCTGCTGCTGCACTGTACAGCTGCCGTGTTTATCCCAGCTCAACAGCTACCCGTAGAAAGCCGTGTTACCCGTGACAACCGTGACGTCAGCAGCTCTGCTGCTGCCAGTGATCAATAGCTGGTTGAATGGGGGGGGGGGAGCTGCGCAGGGGAAAGTGCTTTGTTACTCGCACTGGGGCTCTAGTTGTTCTGACGGTATTATTGAATTGAAGCCGGCACAAATAAATGGGCATTCTGTCCCAGCGTGCCCGCTGCTGCTGCTGCTGTTGTTGGTACTGCTGCCGCTGCTGCTGCTGGTGGTGGTGGTGGTCGTGGTGGTGGTAGTGGTGGAGGTGGTTCCGCCGATGCCACTGTTACCACTGCTGGCAGTACCGCTGCTACTACTGCTGCTGCTGCTGCTGCTGCTGCTGTTGCCTCTGCGGCTGCTAGTGCACTACTCGCTGTCTATTATATCTGCTCTGCTCGCACTGTTTATTTGCACATGCTGCAGCTGTGCGAAATGTTATTTGTACAGGAAAGGAACGGAATCCCTTGTCACAACGCGCTGACGCGCTGTGACCAAACACAATGTAATTCCATCGTGATGTGGTGGGGAGGCGTACTACATTCGTGTATGCATGCACAACTAGCTCAGCATCCGCTAACGATTATTTCGAAATGTCACGACTATAGGAGCAGTACAGTCGGCGGAGAAGCGGGAATTTTCATCGCGAGGGATCGTTTCGTTGTTTTCGCCGCCGCGCCGTGCGGTCGGGAACTGCAATGGTAGCGTCGATCTAGAGCCTCGGTTCCTCTCTTTGGCTGCACATCGGTTTTATTATGCATGCACACCTGTGTGGGGAGAGGTGTGCGCAGCGGTGGGTGGGGGGGGGGGGGTTATGGTCAGTTCAATCCTTACGGCAATGTTATCAGCTGTACGGTATGGCAAGCCATTCCCTTCAAAACTGAAATCAGGAATGAAAACAACACAAGTATGAATAGAAACAATACTTTGTAAAATTGAAACGATACTTCAATAAATAGAAAACACACTATGTCAAATGGAAAATGCTTTTGTAAATGAAAACAACACAAGTACGAATAGAAACAATACTTTGTAAAATTGAAATAACTAATTGTACAATAGAAAACCTGTCTTTGCGACTATGCACAACTCTGAATGGAATGCACAGTTATGTGAATGAAAAACACGAACGCGAATAAACAGATAACGCGCTCGCGTAGCAACGACCTAGGCACAGGCACTTGGACCGTTTCAATAATAAAATGATGGTTAATAAATACAACTTGTCAGTACTACTACTAGCCCTACCAGTACCAGTACCAGCAATAGTCTTAATGTTTGATATAACTTCACTTCAACACCGTCCAATACACCGCTGCAACACATAGCACGCACGCCCTTGTGCATGCACAGATACACAGTGATAATAAGAAGGTAAGAAAGCGTTCGCACAGAAATTCCAGACCGCTCCAATCTTTTCAAAGCACTAGAGGAGAAATACACGTCCAAACGCCATGATATTGGCATCTGTGTGTAGCTAAATGGTCACTTGTTCAAAATATACGTCTTGCAACTTGGTACCACATACTTTACCCAGAATTATATGAGAAATCCTGCTCGAATTTGCAGCAAATTTCCCATGAAGCCGATTCGTAAACGGGACAAGTACATGAGCAATGGCGGCGCATTGCATTCTGTGAGCAATTCTGCTGCAATTTTGCTCCCAGAATGCAATGCGCCGCCATTGCTCATGTACTTGTCCCGTTTACGAATCGGCTTCATGGGAAATTTGCTGCAAATTCGAGCAGGATTTCTCGTATAATTCTGGGTAAAGTATGTGGTACCAAGTTGCAAGACGTATATTTTGAACAAGTGACCATTTAGCTACACACAGATGCCAATATCATGGCGTTTGGACGTGTATTTCTCCTCTAGTGCTTTGAAAAGATTGGAGCGGTCTGGAATTTCTGTGCGAATGCTTTCTTACCTTCTTATTATCACTGTGTATCTGTGCATGCACAAGGGCGTGCGTGCTATGTGTTGCAGCGGTGTATTGGACGGTGTTGAAGTGAAGTTATTAGGTCAAATCAAACATTAAGACTATTACTGGTACTGGTACTGGTAGGGCTAGTAGTAGTACTGACAAGTTGTATTTATTAACCATCATTTTATTATTGAAACGGTCCAAGTGCCTGTGGACCTAGGGCCTATATATATATGGCGTGTCACAGAATAGAAACAACACACAAGTCCGAATAGAAAGAACGGAAAGGCTTCCAGATTTCGCCGCTTGGTGGTGTGCTTGTTTGCAACACAGTCTCTATGACAACGCGAGGAAGCAGGTGAGTGAAGGTGGTTGAATATCAGAATAATACACCAGTCTTAAATATTATTCATGACCTGGGCTCATCGCACGATGACGTACGCACACGCACGTACACGCAGATACACGCATGTACACGCGGATACACGCACGTACACGCGGGTACACGCACCTGCGCGCGCCTGCACCGCGTGTACGTGCGTATATCTGCGTGTACGTGTGTATACCCGTGTGTACGTGCGTTTATATATACAGGCCCTAGGTCGTTGCTACGCGAGCGCGTTCGTGTTTTTCATTCACATAACTGCATTTCATTCAGAGGTGTGCATAGTCGCAAAGACAGGTTTTCTATTGTACAATTAGTTATTTCAATTTTACAAAGTATTGTTTCTATTCGTACAAGTTTGTGTTGTTTTCATTTACAAAAGCATTTTCCATTTGACATAGTGTGTTTTCTATTTATTGAAGTGTCGTTTCAATTTTACAAAGTATTGTTTCTATTCATACTTGTGTTGTTTTCATTCCTGATTTCAGTTTTGAAGGGAATGGCTTGCCATAGTACGGCACAATGCATTTCGCGGCTTGGGTGAGAATGGGGAGGGGGGTGCCGTGTTCGCTCGTTTTATGCTTTCAAACCTGTTTTTGCTCAAATTTTTCGACAGGAGGCAAGCGTCGGGAAGTCGGGAGGTGTTTTTGCATGAAAAACGACAAATGTGTGCGTCTGCGCGCGACACGTTCCGGCGAGAGCACGCGTATCCGCAGACTTTCGTTCACGAAGCAGGTGGCGTTGCTCCGGGAATTTCTTCGCCGCGGTCCACGTACACCGGCATCGGGATGTTCTCGGTCTCGCGTTCGTAGCCCAGATCTAGAGTGACGACGTTCGCTGTGTTGCGTAGTGACGATGAATGAGCGAGAATTGCTGCCCGCGTGATATCTGCGAGCCGTCCCGCCGTACGCAACATGCGAGCTTCTACACCTCTTGCATCTCGCCTTCCTCTAATCGAAATCTCGGGTTTTGCTGTTGAGACAGTGGCGGGTGCACGCGAGATGCAGAGTAGTGGGTGGCTGCGCTTGCAGGCGATCGCCGCTGCGGCTGCTTGATATACATAGCGGAGGCAGGGGGGGGGGGAGTATGCGACGCTGCGTGCGGCAGCCACTGCTGCAACGATCACTCGTTGCGCTTCCTTTTCGCGCACGCTTGCAAAGCGAGCCAGGCTGCGGTGTTAGCCGGCGGCGCGTCTATCCGCGTTCCGCATGCTGCCACCTGTCGGCGGGAGCCGATTCCGCGGCGGTTTTTAACAGGTGCGCTTGCATCGCCCAGGTGACTGGGTAACGAGCGCATCGTTAGTGCGGTGTCGCTAACGAGCGCATCGTTAGTGCGGTGTCGCTAACGAGCGCATCGTTAGTGCAGTGTTGCTAACGAGCGCTGGCACTTGCAGTTAAGCGGCGAGGCAGTGTAATTAATTGCACTCGGCTCCGTGCGTGCGGCGCTGTCACGTCGATCGCCCGCCGCTTGTGCAGCAGAATGTCTTCTCGGTTTCGATCGAAAGTGAGTGAAGGTATCGTGAATATCGTGCAGGTTGATTCGGTTCTAATCAGGACTGTCCTCCGATGTTACGACTGACGCATTGGTGATCGGGAGACGAAGAAATATTGACTAGCATTTTTTCGTTATCGATAATACAGTGCACGTTCATGTTTGTGCGGGCGGCGTTGCTGAATAGGTGTAATCAGACATTCGTGGAGGTGTGCTATCACGCGCGGCATTGGGCCGCAGCTTCCTCTTTGGCCGTTTTATCGCTGGACGTATGTCTAAGCCGCGTCTTTGTCTTGCTGTCTCCCTCGCAGGCTGCCCGCGTTTCCACCGCCGCTGAGGACGCTGTGAGACGGACGCATCACGCGGCAGACGGGTGCAGTATGTGCCGCCCGCACTGGCCGCCGGACGCGAACACGCCGCACCACCACTGAAACATGAGCATAATACTGCAAGTCGGAGGAGACGCGCACATTGACGGACGCAGCCAGATGGGCACCGGCTCCGAGTGAGTCTGCGTTCGGGGCATTCGCTCGGGAAAAACGGGACGCCCTTTTCTTCTAAAAAAGAAAGTCCAGGTCTTCGAAAACGTTGCGCGAGAAATTTGCCCTGCTGATTGTCACGCGTGGAGACGTTTTCACGTGACAGCTTTCATCAGGGCATCCCTGTCCTAGTTCGCGGTCCTGGCCCGACTCGAGACTTCGGAGCGATAGCACGGCGGGACGTTGCAGTCACTGTAATTTTCTTGCTCGCCGGTCGACTCGGTAGCAATGCGTTTATCGTAGGTCCGACGTCAGCGCGCCCTTTCTCGAGACGAGCACGCTTCGACGAACGACGCTGCTGCATGTTCCGCCGCATTGTTCCGCCGCGTTGTTCCGCCGCGTTGTTATGCATTGGAAACCAGACTTCAACGGACCGTCATCGTCGACATACCTTCACTTAACGCCACATATCCATGTAATTCTAACTCAAGATTATTAAATTGACGATTGCGTTTGCCGCGAAATTTCGGCGCAGGAAAACCCGGTAACGAACCAGTAATTGCGGCGTAATGTGAAAACTCGATGTTGCGGCCGGTTTTCACGCGTCCCCGCGTGCGCGTACGCGTCGTGTTGCGGTGGGTTTTCACGCATCCTCGTGTGCGCGTCGTGTTGCGGCCGGTTTTCACGCGTCCCCGCGTGCGCGTACGCGTCGTGTTGCGGTGGGTTTTCACGCATCCTCGTGTGCGCGTCGTGTTGCGGCCGGTTTTCACGCGTCCCCGCGTGCGCGTACGCGTCGTGTTGCGGTGGGTTTTCACGCATCCTCGTGTGCGCGTCGTGTTGCGGCCGGTTTTCACGCGTCCCCGCGTGCGCGTACGCGTCGTGTTGCGGTGGGTTTTCACGCGTACTCACGGTCGCTGCTTACGCGTCGTATGGCAGACGACAATGCTGGAGGTGCAGGTGGCCCGGAGGAGATCACAGTGTCGGGCAGATCACCCCGTAGCTCTACCAGCCTGCTTCGGCCTGCCTACCAGTAACTGTACCTGCCCTGGTGCCGCCCGACCCCCCCCTCTCGCACACACGTGTAACATCCACCACACTGCACATTATCAGAGCCATGTATCAGTGTGGCAACGCGGAATAATGAGCTGTACACTTGACGAGCACGAAATCCATGCACCTGTAACACACTAGTGCCATCAGCCCTCATGAGCTCATTGATCACAAGCTGCTTCGCTGCCCTGCCAGTATTGTGTACGATCATTTCGATTATACTCGATCATGCGGTTGAACAGTTGCTCGAACAAACTCATGTGTATCAAAATCCATAATCGACTTCCAATGGGAAAAAAATGAAAAAGAATAATCGGAAATAAATTAATACTGAACAAGAAAACTTGGAAAAGTAAATAAATCAGAGATACTATCGCTATATCGAGATGCAGCCGACATTAGTTGCCGTATTACTTACCTGTTAGGGGCTAAAGCCTAGACACACTGAGGGATATTTATAACGCTCATAGGGGCTTTATAGCATTCAACACGGCCGCGAGTAAGCCTATTGTAAACCGAGTCTGCGGTTACTTGGTCCAAGCCGATGATCGTTATCGCCATTAACCCATGACATCAGTACTGCCCAGGTAGCGTTACAGCTGCCTGCTCGAGTTCTCGTCGATTTCCGCTATGATGGTGCACACGCATCAGCAACGTTATGCAAGATGACATATCGTGCAAACGACGAAGATCTAGCAGCCGCGTAACACGTACGAAGACACGTATCATAGCAAATTGGACTAATAATATGCGTCGCTGATATTCATTCGGTGTACGTCGGTGACAGCGCAACATCTTCCTTCCCGTATTTCTGTCGCGGCCAATTCCGTTCCTGTAGATGTCCAGCGCGCCCTCGTCGGACCGTCCGTGTAACCCAGTGTTGCGTGCGGTCGCAGCTGCATCCAGTGGAGGTTTCGGCGAGCATGAGGGTGTGTCTTACGTTTGCAGGACATAACTACGGGGCGGGCCAGCCGCATCGACCCGCGGCGTCGCCCATCGCGATGGTTGAGCCAGTGAGAGGTCGTCAAGGGCCAAGTCGAGAAAGTTCGCCGTTCCTCGCGACGGAGCGACGCAGCTAGCCGGCGCCCCTGCGGCGACGTACAACTCGATGGGGAAGGCATCCGCCGCCGCCCCGCTGCAACGCACAGCCACATACTGGACGGCGATCGACACGTGAGTGCTGCGAGAGCGTTCTTGTGTGTGTGTGTGCTGCATGGGAGTGTGAGAGCGTGCGTGAGAGCGTTCCTGTGTGCTGTGTGTATCATGGAAGTGTGAGAGCGCGTGCGTGAGAGCGTGTTGTGTGCTGTGTTGCTGTGTGCTATGTCATGGAGTTGTGAGAGGGTCGTGAGAGCGTGCTGTGTGCTGTGTGCATGCATGGGAGTGTGAGAGCGTGCGTGAGAGCGTGCGTGTGAGCGTGCGAGCGTGCGTGGGAGTGTGAGAGCGTGCGTGAGAGCGTGAGAGCGTTCGTGCATGTGAGCGTGCTGCGTGCGTGCGTGTGCGTGCGAGCGTGCGTGCGTGCATGCATGTGAGCGTGCTGCGTGCGTGCGAGCATGTGTGCGAGCGTGGGAGCATGCATGCATGTGAGCGTGCTGCGTGCGTGCGAGCGTGCGTGCAAGCGTGGGAGCATGCATGCATGTGAGCGTGCTGCGTGCGAGCGTGCGTGCGAGCGTGCTGCGTGCGAGCGTGCGTGCGAGCGTGGGAGCATGCATGCATGTGAGCGTGCTGCGTGCGTGCGTGTGCATGCGTGCGAACGAGCGTGAGTGCGTGCGTGTGTGTGAGCGTGCTGCGTGCGTGCGTGTGCATGCGTGTGTGTGTGTGTGTGTGCGAGCGTGTGTGCGTGCGTGCGTGCGAGCGTGCGTGTGTGCGAGCGTGCGTGCGTGTGTGTGAGCGTGCTGCGTGCGTGTGCATGCGTGTGTGTGTGTGTGTGTGCGAGCATGTGTGCGTGCGTGCGTGCGTGCGTGCGTGCGTGCGTGCGTGTGCGAGCGTGTGTATTCTAACACCATACTGAAGGCATGTCGACTGCTGTAACGTTACCTTGAGGCAAGTAGCGCGATGTAACAATGTAGTGAAGGAATCCAGCGACGTTGTTGCTACAGGGTCGTGAAGAAGGCTATGATAGAGATGGAGTTAGAGCAGCAGCGGCTGCAGATTGTGCAGAAGCTGGAAGCCATGCAAGATTGGTCGGCCAGCACCACCAGGTGCATCTGGTAGGTGTTCTCTCACCCTCTCTTGCTTTTGCTTGCCCTCCCTCCCTTGCAGCCTCCCTCCCTCCTTTCCCTATCGCCATACCTCCCTTCCCCATTTCCCTCCCTCTCTGCTTCTCCCTTCCCTATCTCCCTTCACCTCTCCCTCTCCCTCTCTTTCTTGATCGATCTCCAATCTCTCTTTTAATCATCTCAATCAGATGAACTAGCAATAACTAGCAGCAGAACAAAAGTGTCACATTCCATGCATGTTTGATCATTGAGAGTGTTGTTGTCACTCATGTCATGGTATCCGATCATCTTCACGTGTACTGGTGCATCCTAACAGTCGGGTCTTCTCTCTCTCTCCTTGTTACAGCGGCATGCAGCATGACGACGAGTACATGATATGCTGCGACAAGTGTCTGTAAGTATCCTGTGTCACCGGCGCCCCCTGACGGCGAGCAGCCGCATACAATTCAGTGCAAAATATGCCTGCGGGGGGGGGGGGGCGATTCTCGTTCAGTCGCGCGTGTTCCGAGTTTCGCTGTCAAGCTGGATAGAAGTGCTGGCAGATGCCGGTGTTGGTTTTGGCGCGGGGTGCTGCTGATGGCATTCGTTCTCCCGCCCCGGTGCGCGTGGTAACGGATGTTTACGCTGCTGCGTTGTGCCTGCCATTAGGGTAATTTTGCGCTGGTGTTGTGTTTTTAGCTCATCTGACATAGTCAGATGCAGCTTGTAGAATCGCATGATTCGCACACCGAGATGGCGTGAAAACCCCACTGCAACACGACGCGTTACCCGACTGCGGGGACGCGTGAAAACCGCACCGTCGACAACGAACGACGCGCACAACGAAGGACCGCGTGAAAAACCCACCGCGATTAAGGGCAAACGACGACGATGTAAACGGCAGCGAACACATTGATAGCGGGGACGCGTGAAAACCGGGACCTTGCGAAAATCAAATCGGAGTTTTTCAGCATTACGCGCAATTACTGGTTCGTCCTACTTAAAGGGGTTTCATGCGGTTGGAGCCGCAAATTTTGCCGCATTGGCAGTAAAACGCAAGTCGTCAAATTTAATAATCTTGAGTTAGAATGTACATGATATGTGGCGTTAAGTGAAGTATGTCGACGATGACGGTCCGTTGAAGGTCTGGATTGTGTCCAATGCTAAGCACTTGCGGGCGGAATATACGGCGGCGGAACAATGCGGCGGAACATGACAGCAGCGTACGTTCTCGAAGACGTGCTCGTCTCGAGAAGGGCGCGCTGACAGTCGCACCTACGATAAACCGCATTGCTACCGGAACTCATGGCGCGGGTCGAGCCGGGTCGAGCAAGGAAAATTACGAGTGATGCAACGTCCCGCCGTGCTATCGCTACCCGAAGTCTCGATGCGGGCCAGGAACGCGCGAACTTAGGACGAGGATGCCCTGATGAAAGCTGTCAGGCGTGAAAACGTGCTGATGCCCGTCTCCAACGCGTGACAATCAGCAGGGGCAAATTTCTCCGCCAGCGGGAAGACATAGTTTATCGCCGAAGACACTGGACTTTCTTTTTAGAAGAAAAAGGCGTCACCGTTTTTCCGCGAGCGGCAGAATGCCGACGAACTAGCAGATTGGATTAACTCACTCACGAGCACTCAAGGTGGCCAAACATCTGGCTGGCGTCCGTCAAAATGTGCGCAGTTCCTCCGACTTGCAGTAGATGTATGACTCATGTTTCAGTGGTGGTGGCGGCGTGTCTCGCGTCGCGGGCTCGGCCATTGCGCGGCGGACCAGTATAGCACCCGTCTCGGCGTGATGCGTTACCGTCTCAAGCAGCGTCGCTCCAGCGGCGGTGGAAAAAAAACGCGCAGCCTGGCGAGGGAGACAGCAAGACAAAGACGCCGGCTTAGACATAGCGAGTCAATTGCCGATAAAACGGCCCAATGAGGACGCTGCGACGATTATGCGGCGCGTGATAGCTACACTCTCGCACGAATGTCTGATTACACTCTATTCCGCAACGCTGCCGCCAAACATGAACGTGAGCTTGTATTGATCGATAACAGAAAAAATGCTAGTCAAACTCATTTTCTTCGTCTCCGCGGATCCCCAAATGCGTCAGTCATAAACATCGGAGGAGCCGTCCTGATTTGGAACCGGAATCAACTCTGTACGATATTCACGGATACTTCACTCCTTTCGATCGAAAACGTCGAGAAGACATTCTGCTGCACAAGCGGCGGGCGATCGACGTGACACGGCCGGCACGCACGACGCCAGAGTGCGCAATTAATTACATCGCTCGCGGCTTAACCTGCCAAGTGCCGCGCTCGTTAGCAACGACTGAACTAACGATGCAGCATCGTTAGCTTCGACATGGCGTATGCACTAAGCCGATGCGGGCTGCGTTTAGCGACATGTACCGCACTAACGATGCGCTCATGTTACCACCAGTCACCTGGGCGAATGCAGGAGCGCAGGACTGTTTTAAAAACCGGTCCCGCGGAATCGGCTTCCCGCCGGAATTCAGGTGGGCCGATGCGGGAACGGCGATAGACCGCGCCGCGGCTAACACGGCAGCCTGGCTGCGCTTTGCAAGCAGTGCGCGAAAAGGAGGCGCAGTGTGCCGCAGCAGGCGTCGCAGTACTCCCCCCCCATACTGCTCCGCTTGTATATGAAGCAGCCGCAGCGGCGATTCGCTGCAAGCGCAGCGCACCACTACTCTGGGCATCTCGGTGCACCCGCCACTGTCATCAACCGCAAAACCCGAGATTGTCGATTAGAGGAAGGCGAAGATGGCAAGAGGTGTAGAAGACTCGCATGTTGCGTACGGCGGACGGCTCGCAGATGATAGATGCAAGCGGCAAGCAATTTCGCTCATATGCTCGTCACTAACGCAAAATTTGCACGGCGACAGCAGCGAACACTGTCGTGCACTATGGCTAGCTCTGGGCTAACCGAACAGCGAAGACCGAGAACATCACTGATGCGGTGTACCGTCGGACGCGGCGAAGCAATCTCCCGCGGAGCACATCGCCACGTGCTTCGTGAAACGGAAAGAGTCTATGCGGAACGCGTGCTCATCCAGCCGGACAGCGTGTCGCGCGCGAGAACAGCACACATTTGTCGTTTTTCATGCAAAAACACCTACCGACTTCCGACGCTTGCTCCCTGTCGAAAATTTGAGCAAGAAAGCAGGTTTGAAAGCATAAAACGAGCGAACCCGGGCACCCCCCACTCCCCATTCTCACACGCAAGCCGGAAATGCATTGTGGCGTACTATGGCAAGCATTCCCTTCCAACTGAAATCGAGGAATGAAAACAACACCAATAATGAATCAAGAAACAATACTTTGTAAAATGAACGAACTTCAATAAATAGAAAACACACTAATGTCAAATGGAAAATGCTTTTGTAAATGAAACACACTTAAACTTGTAGCGAATAGAACAATACTTTGTAAAATTGAATGACTAATTGTACAATGAAAAACGACTGTCTTTGGGCGACTATGACACATCTGAATGAAATGCAGGTTTGTGAATGCAAAACACGAACGGCTCGCGTAGCAACGACGCTAGGGCTGTTATATATAAAACTGCGACGTACCCCGGGTATAGTACACGTAAGAACGCAGATATAGCGCCGTGACACTGCGGTGCAGGCGCGCAGCAGGTGCGTGTACCCGCGTGGTACGTCGCGTGTGCGTACGTCATTGCGTGCGACTGAGACGCCCAGGTCATGAATAATATTTAAGACTGGTGTATTATTCTGATATTCAACCACGCATCACTGCACACCTGCTTCCTCGCTTGTATAGAGACTCGTTGTTGCACAAGCAGCACCAACAAGCGGCGAAATTCTGGAAGGCCTTCTGTCCGTTCTTTCTATTCGGTGACTTGTGTGTTGTTTCTTCTTAGACTGTGACACGCGTATATATAGTAGGCGCCCTAGGTCCACAGGCACTTGGACGCGTTTTCAATAATAAAATGATGGTTAATCAAATACAACTTTGTCAGTACTACTACTAGCCCTACCAGTACCAGTACAGTAATAGTCTTTAATGTTTGATTTGACCTAAAATAACTCACTTCAACCAAGGCAGTCCATATACACGATGCAACACAATAGCATCGCACGACGCCTGTGCTGCACAGATACACAGTGATAATAAGAAGGTAAGAAAGGACATTCGCCAGAAATTACAGACCGCTCCGAATCTTTTCAAAGCACTTGAGAGGAGAATACAACGTCTCAAAGACGCGCATGATACTTGCAATCTGTGTGTAGGTGGGCTAAATGGTCAACTTGTTTCAATAATATTTACGTCTTGCAACTTGGTACAGAATACTTGACCGCCCAGATTATAACGAGAATCTGCTCGTAATTTGCAGCAAATTTGCCCATGAAGCGCGATTCGTAACGGCAAATGTACATAGGAGGCAACTGGCGGGCGCATTGCACTTCTGGGAGCAAAATTGACGCAATTTGCTCTACAGAATGCAATGCGCGCGCCATTGCTCTCGTACTTGTCCGGTTTTCGAATCGGCTTCATGGGAAATTTGCTGCAAATTCGAGGCAGGATTTCTCAATATTAATTCCTAGTAAGAGTATGTATGTACAAGTTGCAGAGACGTATATTTTTGAACAAGTTGACCATTTAGCTACACCCGAGATGCCAATATCACATGGCGTTCATTGGCGTGTATTTCTCCTCTAGTGCTTTTGAAAAAGGATTGGACGGGTGCTGGAAATTTCTGTGCGAAGAGCTTTCTTACCTTCTTATTATCAACTGTGTAATCTGTGCATGCGACGAAGGGCGTCGCGGTGCTATGTGTTTGCAGCGGTGTATTGGACGGGTGTTAAAGTGAAGTTATAGTCAAAACATTAAGACTATTGCTGGTATAGGTACTGGTAGGGCCTAGTAGTAGTAACTGACAGTGTATATTATTAAACCATCATTTCCTCTATTATTGAAACGGTCCTAGTGCCTGTGCATAGGTCGTTGCTCCACGCGAAGCGGTTATCTGTTTATTCGCCGTTCGTGTTTTTTTCGATTCGACCCGGATAACTGTGCATCTCCCATTCTAGCTAGTTGTGCATAGTGCGGCACAAGACAGGTTTTCTATTGTACAATTAGTTATTCTTCAATTTTTACAAAAGTATTGAGTTGTCTATACGTACTTGGTGGGGTTGTTTTCATTTAGCAAACGCATTTTCCATTTGAACATAGTGTGTTTTCTTATTTATTGAAGTAGTCGTTTCAAAATTTTACAACCGATCTTGGTTTCATATCATACCTTGTGTTGTTTCATTCGCTGATATTTTCGAGTTCTCTGGAGCAGGGAATGCCTTGCCATAAGCCGTACAGCACGATAACTTGCCGGAAGGATTTGGGAACTAGACCATAGAGACCCCCCCCACCGCCATACCC